GACTTATATTTGTGTTACTACCTATGTAGATTTGTGTTATTGCTCATCTACCTTATATTTCACTTGTATTATGTGGTATTCATGTGGACGGCAAAGTAAGAATTTCATTGTTCAGGGAAACACATTTCCTAACTGTGCATATAGCAAATAAACAGTTTGACCCTTGACCCTACTATCACTGAGATGTGTCACTGCTTAAAACCAAGAACAAACAGACCTACAAGCAGGAATCCTGCACTGTGTTGGGGCAGTCAGGAGGACAAGGCCATCACTGGATAGAGATTTCAGTAGCTGATTTATATGTTTGTTTGTTTAGGTAGCCTGAGGTGCTGTCACATTGCCCAGACCTGCTCCAGCCTTTGGGTAAAAGAGCTGTGGAGTCACGTTTTTTTTCTAAAACAAACCTCAATAAACCATTAGCATCTCATTCCCATGTTTCCTTGTTTAGGCAGTTGCTCTGCAATAGACTAAATATTCTAAAAGGCAAAATATTTTTCTGTTCACTTATTTTGTTATTAACCATAGAAAGTCTTGAACAAACCACAGTAGGATAAATTGGTAGATTTACAGTATTGTTCAAAATAATAGCAGTACAATGTGACTAACCAGAATAATCCAGGTTTTTAGTATATTTTTTATTGCTACATGGCAAACAAGTTACCAGTAGGTGCAGTAGATTCTCAGAAAGCAAACAAGACCCAGCATTCATGAGGCTGTGCAATTGGGCAATTAGTTACAGCGTACTTTGATTAAAAAGTTGATTGGAGAGGGGAAAACCTATAAAGAGGTGCAAAAAATTATAGGCTGTTCAGCTAAAATGATCTCCAATGCCTTAAAATGGAGAGCAAAACCAGAGAGACGTGGAAGAAAACGGAAGACAACCATCAAAATGGATCGAAGAATAACCAGAATGGCAAAGGCCCAGCCAATGATCAGCTCCAGGATGATCAAAGACAGTCTGGAGTTACCTGTAAGTACTGTGACAGTTAGAAGACGTCTGTGTGAAGCTAATCTATTTTCAAGAATCCCCCGCAAAGTCCCTCTGTTAAAAAAAAGGCACGTGCAGAAGAGGTTACAATTTGCCAAAGAACACATCAACTGGCCTAAAGAGAAATGGAGGAACATTTTGTGGACTGATGAGAGTAAAATTGTTCTTTTTGGGTCCAAGGGCCACAGACAGTTTGTGAGACAACCCTCAAACTCTGAATTCAAGCCACAGTACACAGTGAAGACAGTGAAGCATGGTGGTGCAAGCATCATGATATGGGCATGTTTCTCCTACTATGGTGTTGGGCCTATTTATCGCATACCAGGGATCATGGATCAGTTTGCATATGTCAAAATACTTGATGAGGTCATGTTGCCTTATGCTGAAGAGGACATGCCCTTGAAATGGTTGTTTCAACAAGACAATGACCCCAAACACACTAGTAAACGAGCAAAGTCTTGGTTCCAAACCAACAAAATTAATGTTATGGAGTGGCCAGCCCAATCCCCGGACCTTAATCCAATCGAGAACTTGTGGGGTGATATCAAAAATGCTGTTTCTGAAGCAAAACCAAGACATGTAAATGAATTGTGGAATGTTGTTAAAGAATCATGGAGTGGAATAACAGCTGAAAGGTGCCACAAGTTGGTTGACTCCATGCCACACAGATGTGAAGCAGTTATAAAAAACTGTGGTCATAGTGGTTTAGTGATTCACAGGATTGCTAAATTCTAGAAACAAAAACGTTTGTACAAAATAGTTTTGTGTTTGTACAGTCAACGGCAGACACTGCTATTTTTTTGAACACACCCCTTTCAACTAATTGCCCAATTGCACAGCCTTAAGAGCGTGCATATCATGAATGCTGGGTCTTGTTTGCTTTCTGAGAATCTACTGCACCTACTGGTAACTTGTTTGCCATGTAGCAATAAAAAATATACTAAAAACCTGGATTATTCTGGTTAGTCACATTGTACTGCTATTATTTTGAACAATACTGTATTATTTACCTATCCACAGTAGTTTGTCAAGTCACAAGTCTATTGCGTTAAATAAATGCCCATAAGTCAACTTAGTTCACATTCTGCCTCTCAGGTCGAGCCAGCCCACTAGAGCCCACAGAGCCCAGTCACATAAGCTCCTGAGGGCTCTTAAGAACTGGACTGGTAACCTGCATGGTGTCGTGTGACTTAATCACTGAAAACACTCAGAGAGAGGCAAAGTGTGTGTGTATGTGTGTGTGAGAGAGAAATACTGTAAAGTAGAAACATAAAACTTCAAGAGAATCCAATCCAAATATTTAAAGTGACTTTTAAAATCAGGTTTTCCATTAGGGTGATTGTTGATGTTCACTAGATAACCTTTGTCCACAATTGTAAATGTCAGTTTCATGGAATATGTCTATTAGTGTGTGTGTGTGTGTGTGTACGTTATGTACTATTTTCATAAAACTGTTCAAATTAAATGTACACAGAGAGGGTAGGGGGTGGGTGTTTGCCTTTGTATGCATGACAAAAATCAAACCAAACACACAGACGCACACTGTGCTCTGTCTGCTGGTTCTTCCCCTTAGTTTGCTGCACTCACATACACACAAACACTTTTTATTCAACGCTCAGATTCCTGTTTTCTTGCCGCTCATTCAGAGACTCCTGACAAGAATGACATCAAAAGAGTGCACATGTATACACCACATTCAAAGTAATCCCAATACTCTACCAATACTTTATTTCTTTTAATACCTTAATATACACTCGCCAGCCACTTCATTAGGTACACCTGTCAAAGGTGTCTCTATATATTTGTCCTCTATTTCACATTCAGGTTACACAGGTTATTTTTTACCACGCCTGAATTGTTTGAAGTATTTGTGAAATGATTAAATGTATTAAATATTAAGTCAATTTTAACAGTAGCTTTTCAGAGTTGCGTGTCCAACTGTTGCTTTTTGTTTTTGGTTTATATGCCTGACTAAGCGTGTAATGCCTCTGTCTACAGTATAAGCTTATGTAAATGTTTAGTTTTGATACTCAGTTTAGCATATGGTGTGTATGTGTGCAGAGATAATGCTTTATACAAATGGCTTATTCACATTTGTAGCAGCAGTGGGCACCTGCCATAGAATTCTCACCATACCAAGTCCTTTCAGTCCAATTGTGGTTTGACTTGTGTGTGTATTGTGTGTACGTGTCCTTGGTCTCACAGCTACTAGCGTCACCGCAGACTTTGGCTGACAGCCATAATCTACATGCACACCAAATCCTTTTCTACACACATACAAGCACAGAATGCAAGACAAACGGACTTCGCTGACACACAGACAGAGATGTGGACACGCTGCTTTCCTGTTTGAATGCTCAGCCAAACCACAAACCACAGTTACACTTGTCCCTGTCTGTCTGACTGTAGCCAGATAGAGCACTGTAGTGTGATAACACGAGACTCTAGACGTATTCCTTAAAACTCATAGTAAGTTTAAACTATTGATTAGAACACAAAAAAGATTTGTTAGTTTTACATTGTTGTAACTGTAAATATCTCAGCTGCTGAAGTGAATAACGCTGATTGTCTCGTTACAATGACACCTGTCAGTGTGTCGGGTATATTAGGCAGCAGGTGAACATCCAGTCCTCATAGTTGATGTGTTGGAAACAGGAAAAATAGACAAGCGTAAGGACCTGAGTGACTTTGACAAGGGAGAAACTGTGATGGCTGACAACTGGGTCAGATCATCTCCCACTCTGCAGGTCTTGTTGGGTGTTCCTGGTCTGCAGTGCTTAGTACCTACCTACAGTGTCTAAAGAAAGACAAATGGTGAACTGGTGACAGGGTCATGGATGCCCAGGGCTCACTGATGATGAGGTTGATCTACTGTAGATTAAACTTTTAAATGTCATTCATCTTTTTCAAAAGATTCCATTTTGTTTGAATCTTTGTTAAAATGGTTGAGAATGAGAAACACTGTACACTGGTCTCTACGAAGAGAAACATTCAGCAGCTATAGTGATGATATCACACCTAGAGTGGGGAGGCTGTTGAATTAGTCTAAACAATTCTCTCTAACTCGTCCTCACCACCACAGTTTTCACTCCTTTTACATAAGTTTTTCACTGAATGTTTGACACATTCGTGCTCTTCCTGACAGTAGAACTGGAAGCAAACAGATTCACAGAAGATGCACAGTGAGCTGCAGAGTGACGTGGTGTTAGGCAGGTGGTCATAATGTTATGGCTGATTGGTGTGTGTATATGTATGTGACACATTAGGTGGCTCTGTGGAATGTGATAATTAAAGCATTTTTCACAGACATGGTTTATATTAGTGCTGATGCCTCCGAGCATTTTCTGCAATTGATTGCAAAGATCTTAACGTAACACAGCTGCAAAGGAGTTTTGGACAGACAGACAAAATTTACAGAACTCGTGCCTCAAGTGAAATAAAGACAACCATGTGAGCAGGGGGTCTGAAAATCATGATAGATTTATAACATACCGCCTCATTCACTGAACCCAGAAAAAACTTTGGTGTTTCGTGTCTTCTTTAACATAGCTTTTCCATTTCTGGTAGCCACATAACTGTTCACAGTTTCTCACGTCCCAAAAGATGTTCACGATGCCCACTGATGGACGAGTTATGACAACGGCCCATATGTCATCCTAGTAGGATGTGTGTCCGCTTATTCCCACAGTAAATAGATCTGGTTCTAACTTGATAACTGAAATTCCCACAAGCTGACGTCTTGTTTTTTTTTTTTCCAAGACAAAAACAATTTTAGGACATCAGTAACTTGCTGCAGAATGATATCCATTACATTTTCATCTCATTAAACAACTTAGGAAAATAAGAACTGCTGAAATATGTAAATGCATATTTATAAAAATGTTTTAAAGCTAAATTATATACATTTTTTTCCTCCTGTATCTTGAAAGTCATCCAGAAATCACCGTAGCTTTTCCATTCAGCCATTCTTCTTCTTTCTCCAATTTTTCTTATTTCTTGCTGTTTTTCTCAGGGTGCGCGACCCTGACCCTGATGACGTCACTCGTGGCCAAGTCATCATGCTTTCCTGGTCGTTGTCAGCAGCCCCCATTAATTTATTTTTTCCACATCCGCCATTTTCCTTCCAAGGGGAAAAAGTTTCCATCTATAGGAATTTGAGGATGTAAAGTTTTCAGTAGGCTGTGTGTGTTTGTTGCTGTATGCACAGGCCCAGAGGGATTTTTGGCCACAGATGTAAAAGTCATTCCTCTTCTGGTTCTCTCCTCCTTGCTTGCCCTTGATTTTTCCTTTCTATATCATTTTCCCCCCACTTCACTGTCCCTTTCTTCCTTCTCTGCTTTTCTGTGTTTTACAGCTTTCATCTGTCGTATATTCCCACTCTCATTCTTCCCTTCTTATTCTCCAGTTGCCTTTCCCCTTCATTATCATTATGGCCCACTTTCTCCCTTCATTCCAGTTTTCTCCTCCTTCCCTGCTCTGCTTTTTTCCTCTGAGGCTTAGTATAAGTGTGTGTACCTGGCAGAGTGTTTTATTGCACTGTCAGGGGCTTGGGGAGGACAAATTTTGTCCATAAAAGCAGCTCAGAACAAGAGAAAAAGGGGTGGCAGATGGGGACTGGGGCAAATTTATTGTAAGAGGGTTTTTTTAAAACTGTGAACAGCTCTTTCTTTATTTTTCCATCCTGGCAGCAGAGCTTCATTTTGGCTCTAGTAGTTGTGACTGCACACATACAAAGACTTGGACGTGTTTATGTATTAATAATGTACAAAATGAGGGTGTGTGAATACAAACAGAGATATATGGATTTGGTTGGGTAAAAGTGTGCGGCACACTTTTTGAGCGTGGTGGTGGTTGTGGGCTGGTGTGTGTGTTTGTCTTACTGAGTGCTACCACTACCACAGACCACAGTGTGTTTTTAGAAAGCCTGTAGACATTTTGTCTGACTGCAATTTGGCAGGTGGCCCACGATTTTCAATTCAACGCAAGGATATGGAAATGTGTTTGTGTGTGGGTGTATGTACAGGTTCCCATAATCTAGCCCAGCCATAGGCTAAGCTTCTAAAGGAAGTCCACACCCAAAGAATAAGCAGATTAAATGCAATGAGCTATTGTTAGGAGTGTTGTAAGAATATATCTGATATGTCACACCTTGAGTTGGGTTAGTCGCTTGAATCTGGCTCTATTCAATACTGCTACTGCTGCCTGACCTTTTCTTTCTGTTATATGGCTAGCTCCAGTCCACAGTTTCTGTTATATAAACTTAGATGTCAGTCTATGTTCCTTTAATATTGTTCTTAGCACCATAACTAAGGTGGCAAATCTTTCGCAGCTCCTCTGTGGTATTCTAATAATTAGTGTTGTGTGACTGGTGCTAATATTTGGCAAAGTATTGTGAAGACAGGGATATCCAAAAGCACATTCCGAATGATGCTATTAATCCTTTTCCAAGCAGTCTCCAGTATTTTAAATGTAAAAAGTCTGCAGGCCTGAATCATTTGTAAACCGAGTACAATTAGGAAGGTATTCAGCCACTGAGTGCAGGTCGGTGATGTCAACATGTTCTACAAGATGTGTGGCATGGGAACTAATTCTGTAAACAAATCATTTTTACCATCATATAGGTGCAGCTGTGACCGAGCGAAACAAGTACATCTGATCCTACAGGCAGGACAACATAATGTGCCTGTGTCTTCCAGACTTGTTGCAAGTAAATGTTACAAAAATAAAAACATTTTCTGATTTTGCATAGCTATATTTAAAATTTGGTTAGGTTTTGGCACGCAAATGACTTGGCAAGGGACAAATTGGTGTTTGGGTTAAAATGACTTCTTGGTTGGTGGAAAACAATATGGTGAAACTTACAACCTTGTTGAAGTTAGGGGACCTTTGTTGTCATGATTCAAATTATAACCACTCAGAGAAGGTTAGGAAATGATCATGATCATAGTTAAAAGAAACTGGTATTGACTGTTGATTGCTGAAATGACCGATTCTCTTGTTTGCTTGGGAGGACAGCCTTGGACCTGAAGGTAGTTATTCTATTGTTGAGTTGTGGTGTTCTGCTTGGATGATAAATACTTACATAGAAGGATTTTTCTGGAGAATGCAAATCATTCCGTGACAGAAAAAGAAAAGAAATACACCCAGTCAATCTTCAGTGTGATACTTTTACTGCTGGCAACACAAGACTCGTTGGTCCAGAGATCCAAAGAGTCTGGTTAGCATCAAGCACAAATCCTTGCAGGCAATTCAGCAGACACCTAAATTTGGGCTGTTATTAAAGCACATCTTGATCCCATCTATTACACATTTTAAAAATGTTTTTTAAGATGAGGGCTTAAAATGTAAAAAGCACATTATAACACATGCATCATTTGCTTTTAAACAATCGGTTTAGCCAAAGTGGTAGAATGTGTTTCAGCAAACCATTTGGATCAGTAACGAAAATAATGCCACCCAAACATTTTTTTACTTTCTGGAGTGTTTATATTTACCTGAAAGCCTGTTTGGACGAAACGGGGCTGTGTACCCAGTATTGGTAGCCATAAAAATCTTTAACAATGTGATTAGTGAGAGAGGCAGAAAGCCTTTGATGCTAATGTTGTGGTGTTCGCTCTCTGCATTTGCCCGCTCTGTTGCAGAGCCACTCAGGAGTCTTGTTCTTATGTGTAGGTGTGCGCATGTACGTATGAATGCGATTTTTTTGTTTGTTTGTTTGTTTGTTTAGGAGGAATAATTCTTTGGTTCTATGCATGTAAACATTTTTTGTACTTAGTTTTACTAGTTAGTTATTAATAGCTAAATCACAGTGAATTTATAATCCTGTGGTTTATGGGAATAACCTCACAGCTCCCTGGCTACAAGGCGATCATTTTTACAGTGTTTTCAAATAAAAGAATGTGCTGGTACATTCCTGTTTGAATGTGCTTGTGCATGTTTTGCCATGTTGTTGTATGTTGATGGTGTCCAGCTTCAAATGACTTTTCAGCCTTTATTTTGGCCCACGAGACACAGTGACATTTAGCTTTAGTGTGAAACCTGCAAGGGCTGAGCCTGGAGTCACTGTGTGTGTGTGTGTGTGTAGGTTTGGGTTGGGCCTGAAAGAGGATATCTTTTGCCTTGACGAGGTTTAAGGAAATGTCACTATAGGAGCTGGCTATTGCTGTAGGCTTGCACTATACACACACCCTTGCAGTCATCATTTATAGGGTTTGTACATAGACTTGCGTTCATTTCCAGGAAACATGCCCTAACCTTAACCAAAGCCGACACTTGGTCTAACCTTACACCCCATCATTTTCATAAAATTTGGTTTGCTTTACAGTCCTTGCAAAGCAGCGTGCTCTGTGTTCTGTCCCCACAAGTGTGTATGTATGTATGTATGTGTATATATACACATATATACCGACAAACTGGTAATGGCCAACCAACCAGACATAGTAGTGGTGGACAAACAGAAGAAGGCCGTAGTGATAGATGTAGCAATCCCAAGCAATAGCAACATCAGGAAGAAGGAACACCCGAAGCTTGAGAAATACCAAGGGCTGAAAGAAGAGCTAGAAAAGATGTGGAGGGTGAAGGCACAAGTGGTCCCTGTGGTAATAGGAACATTGAGGGCTGTGACCCCCAAACTGGGAGAGTGGTTCCAACAGATCCCAGGAACAACATCTGAGAGCTCTGTCCAGAAGAGTGCAGTCCTAGGAACAGCTAAGGTACTGTGCAGGACCCTCAAGCTCCCAGGCCTCTGGTAGAGGACCTGAGCTTGAAGGAAGGAATATAAGACCGCCCCAAAGTTGGGGGCGAGGGGAATTTTCCTTATTTATTTATATATATTAATAAACAAGGCCAAACATGCACACAGTTTGACAGACTGGTATTTTATGGTCACCAGTTGGTTCAGTATGCTTTTCCTTTACACTTTAATGTGTGTATGTGCTGCATCTTTTAACATTTTGACTTACATGAACTGTGTGTGTGTGTGTGTGTGTGTGTGTGTGTGTATATGCTTGGTTATGAGGTCATTAGGATATGAGGTCATTAGGAGAAATTAGCTGTGGCTATTTAGAGGCCTGCTGATGGATTGGAAACAGCCACAAGGCATACTCTCACCTCTTCACTTACCAGGCATGAGAATTCAACAGATTTTGCCAGAACTCCAGGGGGCATTGGAGAAAGAGGTCATATGCCACGGATAATATCTTAACTAATGGAAGACATCCTTATTTTATTGAAATTAACTACATTTTCCACAAAGCAGTTGAAATATACACATTATTCAGCAAAACTGTATGAGTAAGAAGAAAGGTCACGCAATGAACAATGCGGTGCACACTTCCCTTTTAGGAGGTTTTGGGTGATGAAACAAATCTTTTTGCTTATTTTGCATACAATTAATAAAATTAAGACTTAGAAGTTCAATGGTTAGCCTAATTATGTCAAATTTCACAGTGACAGTATCAAAGGTTATGCTGTCTAGTTGAGATAAGCAGAGAAAATCTAACCAACCTATATGGGGCAGGCCCTTATTGTGTTATGTGGATTTTATTATATCAGCCTTTTTTGCTAAGTTTGCTAATAGCTTTGTTATGTTGTAAAATCATTAAGTGTGTTTTTGAGTTTGTGAAGAATTGTGCCTTGTCTGTTGTTTTATGGCTGTTAGTTTGTATGTAAGTGCTTTTGTTCAGTTGTAAGTTGATTTGATTTCAAAGATACAGTATGTCTTGGGCCCATTTGAATCATTAAGTGTGATTAGTGGAGAGTGAAGGAGGCCTCCCAGCTTCTCTTTACCCACAGAGAGAACGTGCACTGTACTACCGTGTCTAGGCCAAAATATTTCTGCCCAAAAGGACCAATTGTCCTTCTAAAGCCATGGTACTTTCTCTCCACTACTAACAATCCAAAGCTTACTTGTTATACAGTATATCCACCCATGATGGATGGGGAGAATTTTTTTTTTTAGCAGTGTTGTAAATGGTGCATATATTTTTTGCTCTTTTTGAGTTGAGTTGAGTTGACTTTTCATTGAGTTTCACCTCACCACATGTCCATAAATCTACAGGCTAGAAAGTTGGCCAACTGGCTGCCTCTTCTCCTCTAGGATGCCTTGTT